CAGACTTTCTGACATAGTTGACAGCTGCTTTATCAATAAAAATGGAACTCGTAAATTACCTACATGTGAAATTAGTCATTAGTTATTTGCAAAATTACTTTGATAAAAAACAGTCTGATTGTACACACAAGTACTCTGAAGTTGACATTAAAAAAGATGCTCGAGTTTCTGATTGACAATATCTATGTGGTTTTTGGAGACCAGGTCTTCTAACAATCTTTTGGAATTCCCATGGGTACCGATTGCGCCCCGTTATTAGCAGACTTATTTTTTGTATTCATATGATGCAGAATTTGTTCAGAATCTTTTACGTGAAAAGAAGAAAACACTTGCCGTGGCCTTCAACTCGGCATTTAGATATACGACGTATTGTCAATTAAGAAATTTTCAAGAAATAGGTGAGATATGGCTTTCATATTTCACTTGTATATTGTGACAAGAACCGGTCACGGTAGCCTGGTGATAGGGAGTTCGCTTTGTCATCGTGAGGACCGGGTTTGATTCTCGTTCGTCGCGCCGCGTCAAACCTAACACGCAAACAGGTATTGACTTCCTTTGCCAAGCGCCCGGCACTAAAAGTGAAAGTCACGGGTCTTTCGAATAAGATCTTAACAAACGAGGTCATGTTAGGCGATGGCAAAGTAATAAAGAATGGTCCTGATGTCGAGTATAGGTATAAATTTGCAGCTCCTTACCGGTACATGTTGACATCTCTGTATGAGTGAAACATTCTCGAATGGGACGTAAAACAACATACAATCAGTCAATAACTAATCCTTGTGACAAGACCTTCCCCTGGGTACCAACATATTAAAGTCCAGACTTTCTGACATAGTTGACAGCTGCTTTATCAATAAAAATGGAACTCGTAAATTACCTACATGTGAAATTAGTCATTAGTTATTTGCAAAATTACTTTGATAAAAAACAGTCTGATTGTACACACAAGTACTCTGAAGTTGACATTAAAAAAGATGCTCGAGTTTCTGATTGACAATATCTATGTGGTTTTTGGAGACCAGGTCTTCTAACAATCTTTTGGAATTCCCATGGGTACCGATTGCGCCCCGTTATTAGCAGACTTATTTTTTGTATTCATATGATGCAGAATTTGTTCAGAATCTTTTACGTGAAAAGAAGAAAACACTTGCCGTGGCCTTCAACTCGGCATTTAGATATACGACGTATTGTCAATTAAGAAATTTTCAAGAAATAGGTGAGATATGGCTTTCATATTTCACTTGTATATTGTGACAAGAACCGGTCACGGTAGCCTGGTGATAGGGAGTTCGCTTTGTCATCGTGAGGACCGGGTTTGATTCTCGTTCGTCGCGCCGCGTCAAACCTAACACGCAAACAGGTATTGACTTCCTTTGCCAAGCGCCCGGCACTAAAAGTGAAAGTCACGGGTCTTTCGAATAAGATCTTAACAAACGAGGTCATGTTAGGCGATGGCAAAGTAATAAAGAATGGTCCTGATGTCGAGTATAGGTCTAAATTTGGAGCTCCTTACCGGTACATGTTGACATCTCTGTATGAGTGAAACATTCTCGAATGGGACGTAAAACAACATACAATCAGTCAATAACTAATCCTTGTGACAAGACCTTCCCCTGGGTACCAACATATTAAAGTCCAGACTTTCTGACATAGTTGACAGCTGCTTTATCAATAAAAATGGAACTCGTAAATTACCTACATGTGAAATTAGTCATTAGTTATTTGCAAAATTACTTTGATAAAAAACAGTCTGATTGTACACACAAGTACTCTGAAGTTGACATTAAAAAAGATGCTTGAGTTTCTGATTGACAATATCTATGTGGTTTTTGGAGACCAGGTCTTCTAACAATCTTTTGGAATTCCCATGGGTACCGATTGCGCCCCGTTATTAGCAGACTTATTTTTTGTATTCATATGATGCAGAATTTGTTCAGAATCTTTTACGTGAAAAGAAGAAAACATTGCCGTGGCCTTCAACTCGGCATTTAGATATACGACGTATTGTCAATTAAGGTCAAGATCTAGTAAATGAAAAGAGCATACAGATTTCTCAAACTTGGGAAATAAATTCCTTTTATGATGCTTTATAACTATAGCGCGGTCAAATAAGGTGTATCGGGGCATAATTTGCAAGAAAAAAAGACGAAAAACCATCTTGTAAACTGTCATTTTCAATGAAAAATGAAGAAAGCCAATCAAGAATATGAGAGAATATGAGAGAAATCAAGAATATGAGAGAAATTGATTATGACGTCATAATGGATCTAGCACCGAAAAGACGGTCTAAAGTCATTTACTAGATCTTGACCTTAACAACGGTGATTTCCATTCTTATGTCGACACGATATATTCCGGTGAGCTTGAGAAAAAAAATACCACAGAGTCTGACACTTCTGTTTCATATTTGGATATTTTAATAGAAAAAGACGTTAATGGTAATCCAACAACAAAGCTTTACGATAAACGTGATGATTTTAATTTTTCAATCGTCAACTTCCCTTACTTATACCCTTATCATCTGCATACGGGGTATGTAACTCTCAGTTGATTCGATACGCAAAAGCATGCTCTACGCATGAACAATTTCTTAAACGAGATAAATTATTGACAAACAAGTTGATGAAACAAGAATATGAGCAGTCTCATTTAAAGTCAGCATTTCGTAAGCTCTATGGTCGATACAATGACCTTGTCAGCAAATACAATCTTTCATTAAGTCAAATGCTGACTGACGTTTTTCATACTAATTGTTAGGCCATTATTTACACACTGAATTTTTCCGTTATTTCCCGATCATGACAAGGAGCACACGGCGGGTGAGACCGGTCGGCAGGGTATGCTCACTCCTCTATGGCACCTGATCCCACCTCTGATGTCTTAGAGGTCCGTGTTTGCTCTGCTCCTATTTTGTAAGGTTTAATGGACTGTTGAGCTCGAATACTGTTCCTTATCTCCACATATTTCATTCAACCTTTTCAGCTTGACATTGGAGCTGGACCATCTTTCGAATTACTTTAACCTTGGCCATAACTTTTGAAGGGTTGTTCTAGGGTTTTCATATTTCACATGTGTATTCCTTATGGTAAGACCTTTCTTGGGTAACAATATTCTTGATCTCTTGACCTTTGAATTTGACTTTCATTTGAGAAATTTTAACGGTCGTCATGAGGTGCCATAGGGAGTGGGGTATCAGTGCTTCACAAACACATCTCGTTCCTGCTTTTCAATTTAGCACATTTCATTTGAAATCAAATTCATGAATACAATGTACACTTTACTTGCAAAAAATAACCAAAGACAGTGCAGGCATTTACGAAATGTTATACTATTTAGCAAAATTTTAATATTAATGTAAGCGTTGTAAACGTAGAAAATTACGAATGAAATTACGTAAGTAACAATTATTAAATATTTTTGAACTAATCATGGTCTGTCAATAAATTAACAGAGTTAATTTAAAAACAAATGCATGACAACATGTATCACAATTTGTTTATGTCAATTATTTTTGTCATTTATTGCTTTGTGTAATAATAATTATAAAATTAATTTTATAACTCTGAGAGTAATGAATCTTTCGCAAAAGAGACTTCATAGTTGAATAACTTTTTGTACAAAACCGAATGACTTTTCTTGCGTAAAGTATTTTGAAATAGTTTTGCGTCTGGAAAAACGGAAGCTTCTTTTCTTCAAAAAGACTTAATAGTTTTACAAAACTAAGGTACATTGTACTAACTTAACAGGCTAGAAATAACGAACAGTGATCGATCTCATAAATCTCAAAATCAATATCAAAGTATAATCAGGGTATAAAATATGGACGATAAAGGGTCAGCCTACGTAACCAAATTTAATGTACTCTTCTTGCAGTTCAGAGCGATCATATTTCCTCCATTATTTTTAGGGTTTTTTTTTTAAATATGCCTCTTCGGAACAATAATCTGAAATGACATTTTGAAGAAAAATCAAGCTCTTAATATTTATATCCAATTGTTTTTTTTTTCATGGAAGCAATTTTCTCATAACAAATGGGATTCCCTATTTTCATAGCACAAACTCGTCACTGTAATGTTTTTCAGTGCGACTCTATTTCATTTTATTGAAGGCCATACTAAAATTATTCTTGGTTTAACGCCATCTGGCGGGTATGTTTCCCACAAATCTCCCACAAATTTATCAATCAAGCGGCTAATTCTCTCAGTTCATTCCCAGATTTATTCAATGTCAAGACTACTGTATTTTTTTCTTACCTTTGATGCATTTACAAATCTTTAAAACTGCTTATATTGTATCCAAAGGAACAAATTTAAACTCTTATTAATTATAAAGAAGCAAATCTGTAAAGAAATTCGAGTGTATTCTATCATATTTTATTCTTTGAGATCCTTATTTATGAAAACCTGTTTACAATTCCTTATGTGTGAAATTGAAGTCTTTTTTCCCCTTGAAATTAAAGAATGACAACATGACAACATATAAAAGATTTCTTTTTCATATTTAAGTCAATACTTTGCTTAGTATTGAAAATTAGTTCGGTTTGAGGGTACCTTTCAAAATTCAGGGATACAAAGATATTAGTTACCTAAATTGGCCTAATCATATATTGGAATCGATGAGAAGCTCTACATTGTGGTACAGTGTATATATACTCCGTATATGCATATTTGTATTTATGTGAAAACATAAAGTAATTTATAGCATCTCGATTACATTGTCAATTTTTTCCGGAATAACAAAAATCTTTCCATTACGGTTCTGTACTTTACCGCCATATTGATCACGTGATATTTGTTTATTGAAGCTGTAGCCATTGTTTGAATGTGTAGAAACTTTTACATTTGTTTGATATTTTCCTTGCGTTTGTGTCCATATATTCTCATGCAAGACACATGTTTCATTGCTAGTGTTTGACGGTGCATCGTAAGTACATTCTCCTTAATTTTATATAATGTAAAAGAGTTTGTGGCGGTTTACATCCGATTACGTAACTCGCCATCATGGTTATGAAACTTGTAGTTTTAGGACATTCATTTGTCAGTAGATTGGAAGACTTTGTGAATAGTTCTCCTGATAACCGTGTGACAAAAAATTTGAACTTAAGTTTGGAGGAAATTCATGTTTCATATGCAGGATTTCGGGGAGCGACATTGTCAAAGGTTAGGGCGCAAGGTCTGCGTTACGTAAGGCTCTTTCATCCAGATGTGGTGGTATTGCAAGCCGTATCAAATGACCTCTGTGATCCTACTAAATCAGTATCAGATGTCTTCAAACAATTGATTGACTTTGTTATATCCCTTCGTTATGCAGAATCAGTGAAACATGATGTAATTCTACAAACTTTACACAGAAGACCCCCCAGTTACCGCATACGTTATGAAGTGGATACTCAGTGGTTCAATGAAAGAGTGGATGAACTTAATATGAGAATATCATCCTATTTATGTAATGTGGAAGGATCAAAATTTTTCCGCTTATCAGGTTTCTGGTCCTCTACAAGTCAGGACATGGTGTTTTCTCAAGATGGTGTACACCTGAATTTGCAAGGAATGAAGAAGTATTATAATAATTTGCGAGCAGTAGTAGTTTCTACACTTAAAACCATAACAAATGGTGGGTATGAATTTTGTTTGAAAATATAGGAGGATAGTTAACTACACATGGCAAAACATTTTTGTCACTGCCACTGGGCCTATGTTTTACACTTGGTTTCAAGATATGTCAAAGGCAGAGCTAAATCTTTGTTCAAGTGAATTGTAAACAAAATAATAAGCCTTACTCAACTGTTTATTACAAAGTTTAAAATGTTGTCTCTTTATGGTCGAGGCCCATAACTTTGGAATTGTTGTTCCCCTATATATGGTTGGGGTAAACAACAGTTTTTATTATTCATGGCTATTTAAAAAAGGAATTTACCCCTATATGGTTGAGGTTTTTGTTTTCTAATCAACATTTTATTAATTAGAATATGTTTGCTTAATTTATATATTATTCAGTGCTTTTATATTATCATATCCCTATATTAGGGGTATTTTCTCTGCTGGGATATGAGTTCTGTGATTATACCCCTATATGGTTGGGGATAATTATTTATATATAAAGATATATAAGATTTATTAATTACACTATCTGCCTGTTGTTTGCTTTTTGGATATGAACACTTTATTATTTGACCCCTATATGGTTGGGGTTTTTCAAGGGTACCCTACTTATTTGGAGTTTGTATTTTTTATCCCCCTCCCTCACCAGTTTTCATGTTTTTGTGCTTTTTACACCTGCCTTATTGAAACTTGTCCCTATACGGTTGGGACGTGTTTTTTAGCACTGAATAGAAGATATTACACATTGCATTTATGATCATGCTGTCTTTCTTATTATGATCATAGATTATTATTATGCCTATATACGTATGGTGTGGGTTTAGTTAAATTTGCCCCTATATGTTTGGGGTATTCCCCTATATGGTTGGGGCACCATCTTTCGGTTCTCTATAGAAGTGCAGTAATATTCATTTTGGGGGTTATGCTTTGTTTCCTAATTTTGATTACAGGTTTATGATTGTGCCCCTATATGGTTGGGGATTTATTAAAATGTGCTCTATAGACAAACACATGTCTTTTAGCTTTGGATAAAGTTAATGAATATGTGCGTTATGCAATAAAGGATATGCTGTGTTTCCTAGTTATGGTTACAGGTTTATTAATATGCCCCTATATGGTTGGGGCTTTCTGTGTATATTCATGCCCCTATATGGTTGGGGTTTCTTTGATGTAATTACATATGTTTTTCATAAATTGGTGGTTCAAGTGGGCTTGTTACATCTAATTGGACAGGTAATTAGACCATAGGTGACTAAGATTGTGTAATCACAAGGAATGCTGATGTTTTAGTGGCAATATGTTTATATATATATTGTTGGGCTCCTATATGGTTGGGGCCTTAACCCTTATCAGGTGTAATTTGTGATGAAAATTATATACCCCTATATGGTTGGGGAACACATGGCCATTGATAAAAGGACAGAAATTCTATGCACCTATATGGTTGGTGGGCATGTTTAAGTTCTTATAAATATGGCATTCCTGTTCATAAATGTTTGTTATAAGTATCTTTTACTCAAGTCCATTGTGAGAGTCAATAATTTTACCATGTTGATTGACATGTATTAAAAATTCAGATTTGACTTATTATGCTCAAGTCCACACTGGTATAATGGTATTTCTAAATGAATTTACATACATGCTTATATTATCAGTTGAAAGCTGTTAATTAACCAAATATGTATGATAATTTCCACAAAAAAGCTATGTTTTTACATAGTCAATGAATTTGTTGTGGTACAATAATTGTGTTTGATATTAAGTCCCTGTACCAGTATTACAGTATTAGTACTGAAGCCTTATTCATTGACCAGAGCTGTGGTTAAGAATAAAATATATTTCATTTATATCATTTTGATAAACAATTTTACAGATGAGCGAACCCAAAATGCCAAACGCCAACCAAGAGGGAGGCGAACTCAGGTCATTCCAGCAGCAGCAGGGTCTGCAGAGCAGGCTGCACAACAGACTGTGCAACAGACCGCACAGGACCAGCTGGTGGCAGCAGTAACGGACAAGGTCCTAGAAGCGATCAGAAATGAATCCAATCAGGAGTCCCAACAGATGGTAGAAACTGAGGATAGGGGAAGGAAAAAGCACAAAGAGCCAAAGAAAAAGAGAAAAAGAATATCTTCACCTCCTAGATCACCTTCCATTGCAGGTACTAACTCAGATTTGATTGACTCTTCAGGTGATGAAAATTCCTCAGATGAAAATACGAGTACTGATGTCTCCTCATCAGCTGAGTCTGATAATGATGACAACTATTTGCTGTCAACGCCAATATCAGCACAGGTTGAAACAAAAATCAAAAACAAAATCTGGCAAAATAAATATATTGACTTTAGTAAACTTTTGCCAAGGGAAGATATTGCCTCAGACAGGTCTGTTCAACTTAAAAGTACAGGCAATTCTGAATTAAAATTACTTTCAACCAAGTCAAAAACTCTCATCAAATCCATAGATCAATGGACATCAGCTTTTCTAAAATTTTTGGCAATTTATTCAGAAAAATTTCCAAAGCAAGTTGCATCAGTTATTAAACATGGAGAAATTGTCAGAGAGTTGGCTAATAGACATGCAGGTTTATCATGGCTGACGTATGCTAAACAAGTTCGTAAGGACATTGAGGCAAGGTCTATCCCTTGGGGCCAGTTGCATTATGAATATTGGGTTATGGCCAGCACATCTAGAAATTTTCATCATAATTTCCAAACCCATTTTCGTACCAAACACAATTTTCAAAGAAGAGGGGGGCCCCAGAAAGGTAGGAAAAGACCACCTGGATTCTGCTATGCATTTCACAGAAATGGGAAATGCTACCAGAACAACTGTCAATATAAACACACATGTTACCAGTGTAAGAAAAACCACTCAGCCCTTCAATGCCCAAGAGGTAATCAGTCAGCCCCAAACAACAGCTCCCCAAGCTACCCATCAAGTTCATTCTCATCAGCCACCACTGCAAACAAATAGTTCTGTTGTTACTCCAGTACGCATAACTATTTTAAAACAGCTATTAGAAGGCTATCATCAAAATTTGAAAGAATTTTTATATGAAGGTTTTGAAAAGGGATTTAGATTAGGTTATGAGGGTCCAAGACAACCACGTTTTTCTTCCAATTTGTTATCAGCCAAAACTCTTCCAAATATAACATTAGAAAAATTAAACAAAGAGATTTCACTTGGTAGAATAGCTGGCCCATTTGAGGAACCTCCTTTTATTAATATTCAGTGTTCACCAATAGGTCTGGTGCCCAAAAAAGAAGCTAACGAATTTCGAATGATTCAGCATTTGTCATTTCCTGATGGGCATTCAATAAATGATTTTATACCAGACGAATTATGTTCCGTTTCCTACACAACAATCGATGACGCAATCAGATTAATAAAGCAGATTGGTCCTGGGTGCCTTCCTGCAAAAACTGACATTGCTTCTGCTTTTCGTATAATACCTGTCCACCCACTTGACCATGAGTTACTAGGTATTCAGTTTCAAAATAAATTTTATTTTGATAAATGTCTTCCCATGGGTTGCTCAATATCCTGCTCCATTTTTGAAACTTTCAGTACAGCATTGCAGTGGATAGCTTGCAACAAGTTTGGAGTCCCTAACATGTTGCATATATTGGATGATTTCTTAGTTATAGGACCCCGGGACTCTACAATATGTGGTTTAGCATTACAACAATTTATATCTTTATGTGAGGTGTTGGGGGTTCCAATTAAATCAGAAAAAACAGAGGGCCCTTCTACAGATATTGTTTTCCTAGGAGTACAACTAGATACAGTTAGGTGGGAAGCTAGATTACCCCAAGATAAAGTCCAAAAAATCCGTGAGGCAGTTAAGCTAGCAAAAAATCGCAAAAAGATGAAACTTCGTGAAATTCAGTCCTTGATTGGGCTGTTAAATTTTGCTTGCTGTGTTGTAGTACCTGGACGTGCATTTCTGCGTCGTCTTATTAATTTAACAGTAGGTATAAAAAAGCCTCATCATAGGATTCGTCTGAATAAGCAAGCAAGGTTGGATTTGTTAGCTTGGGAAACTTTCATAGACAACTTTAATGGCAAGTCAATCTTTCAACATAGTCAACATTATTAATAGACTTTCTTCGAAAGATCTATCACAGTGTAAATTTTGATAAAAACAATTTTAGTGACATGTTTTACCTGACTTTGAAATATACTTTTAATTATCTGTAATTACTTTAAATATCACGAAAAACTTTAATTATGCTAATTACTATGTTACTCAAAACGCGCCAATTTAATCAATTTACTCAACATGTCATGAGTTATTCTATCTAAGCCATCTGTCACTCATGTTCAGAATTGTGCTAATTGTCATTGTTATACTTTATTATTTATATGTTACATGCATCATTGTTAATCAGTCAAGTCCTAGGCTTCGGATTGTTCGGGTGCAATTTTTGGATTTCCAGAATTCACCCTACCGACCTAAGTTATAATAAAGTGCTATTCCATCGTTAGCATTTTTATGTTTCATTGTTGCCGGAAAGTTTTTACACTCATTGTCCCCGGTGACAATTTGGTGGAGAATCCTAAGGGTATAACACCTGGGACTGCTGCATATATTTTGTAGCAGTTTGATCCTGAGTACCAGCAACTAAGCGAGTTTCCCCAAGACGGCTAACAACTATAACCTCAACGACACCATGCAAACCCGGAGAAAAGGATTTTACCGCTCCTCCCGAACATCTTTCCAGCGCCATTGTCTTTGGCGTCCTTGGAATACACCAGGACCAGCACGAATTTTCTCGACACCGGGATCCAGTCCACGGTGCTATAGGTGCGGGAAAACTTTCTTCCACGGCCACCTTTTCACGTGTCTAGCTACACGTTCCGAGTGTTTCGTGTGCGGAAAACTTGGTCACCATGCGAAAGTATGTTTCTCTTCTGCAACCACACCTTACCGTTCCTCCCAAAGGAATACATTTCCGTTGGCGTCCATCGATCATTCAACGATCAAAAAGGATCAAGCCAAAGGGTCAGGACGGGCCTGCTTGAAGACAAACCCGGGAAACCCGTCTGTAGGATCGCCTGACAAGTCGTCAAAATGCGATTCTACTGCAGGTATGTGTTTTACTCGGACTGCTTCCAATAGTAGTCCGAAGAGTGTTGCTGTTGCGGAGACGCAAAGGAAGAGTGTACTTTATCTGCAGACGAAGTCCGTAAGCAAACGGTGCAGGGATTCGAAAAGAATAAAGGACTATTACGATAGATTGCAGTTAGTGAAATCTTTACCATTCCAAGACCTAAGTTCCGAAGATATTCGTAATTTATTTAAATCAACAGGCCACACCATCCAACTAACTGCATTACAGAATAAAAATAAGACCTTAAAGACAAAAATTAGTGAACTTATACGGAAATGTGACAATCTTCATACCGTAACATCCACTCTTCATAAACAAATTTCAAAGTTACAGAACAGACCAAACGAACGAAGACCATACGACTCAACTAGACGTGTCGACAAACAACACCCTTTCCTCCCGCTACCAACACCAACCAAGCGTTACTGGTACCAACAACCTAGTGTTCCACATGCCAGTCCCCGGTGATTCCTGAGACGAGGACGTCTCATTTTTCGAAGCGAGAGGGAATTATCACAGTGTAAATTTTGATAAAAACAATTTTAGTGACATGTTTTACCTGACTTTGAAATATACTTTTAATTATCTGTAATTACTTTAAATATCACGAAAAACTTTAATTATGCTAATTACTGTGTTACTCAAAACGCGCCAATTTAATCAATTTACTCAACATGTCATGAGTTATTCTATCTAAGCCATCTGTCACTCATGTTCAGAATTGTGCTAATTGTCATTGTTATACTTTATTATTTATATGTTACATGCATCATTGTTAATCAGTCAAGTCCTAGGCTACGGATTGTTTGGGTGCAATTTTTGGATTTCCAGAATTCACCCTACCGACCTAAGTTTATAATAAAGTGCTATTCCATCGTTAGCATCTTTATGTTTCATTGTTGCCGGAAAGTTTTACACTTATTTTCCCCGGTGATAGATCCATCAGTGATGTCATTAGTCAGACGATTGGTTCTAGCTTGCTTGAGATTTAATATTCTGTTCAAATCCGAGCATATTCCTGGGAAGAAAAATGTTTTACCAGACTTACTTTCGCGTTTGCAGGTAGAGAAATTCAAGGAATTAGCACCTTACATGGACAAGTTCCCAGCCAACATCCCTCAGGAGTACCTACACATTTAGTAAATTCGACATCAAAACTGCTTGATGCTGCAATGTCAAAAAATACCCAGGTGTCATATGAGGTAGCTTTAAATGCTTATCGTAAATTCTTCCGGACAAATTTCAGTACAAGTCCAACATTTCCATCTCAGTTAAATCACATTATGTCTTTTATAGCATGGTTATATCAACATAAAAAATCTTACAACACAATAAATACCTATGTTGCAGGTATTTCTTATTATCACAAAATACATGGTCTCTCTGACCCAACTCAGTTTTTTGTCATTAAGAAGCTTCTCAAAGGAGCTCAGCACTTATCCAATGCTCCAGATATCCGTTTACCAATAACACCTCATATTCTTTTCAAGCTAGTCCATGCGCTTAAACACACAGTGGCTGGAAAGTTTAGCAGACGCCTTCTGACAGGCATGTTTACACTCTGTTTCTTTGCATTCCTGAGAGTAGGTGAAGTAACTGTGAAATCTTTAAAAAATTCAAGTAGAAATCTTGTTCATCTAAAAAATTTATCATTTGACCCAGTACGAGGAAGACCTAAATCTATGACATTAACACTCAGACATTTCAAACATCATGACTCAGGTAGACCTGTGTCCTTGCAAATAGCAGCTCAGACTTGTAAAAATATATGTCCAGTAATAGCTATGCAAAAGTACTTATCAGTCAGAAGTAAATGTCAGGGCCCTTTATTCAGTTTTGATGGTCAAAAACCAATTAATCAGGCTTACTTTACAAATGAACTAAAAAATGCATTATCATTTGTTGGTCTTGACACAACTAAGTACAAATCACATAGTTTTCGTATAGGAGCAGCGTCTTATGCTTTTCAGTGCAAAATTCCCGGGGATAAAATTCGTTTAATGGGTCGCTGGAACTCCAGTGCTATTAGGCGATATTTTAGGATACCAGTTTTTGATACAGTGGAAATTTCACCTCTTAATCTTGTTTGATTTACATTTTAGACAGTTTACATTCAGACTTTGCACAATTGGCTATTGCTTTATAATTGGACTGTCTGAGGCAGCTGATTATGAAATAATGTTGTATTCTCTAGTCAGACTGTCTGAGGCAGCTGCTAGGTGAGCAATTTTTCAAGGTGGCCATTACCCAGTACTCATAGTTTTTTAACATTACATGTTTACAAATGACTGTCTGAGGCGGCATTTGTGATTACGTCAAGTTTGATAGTTTTTTAAATTTAACTATGACTTCTAGGTAACATTACATGTTTGCAAATGACTGTCTGAGGCGGCATTTGTGAATATAACAAGTTTTTATTGTTTTTGATTTTAAGTATTAAACCCTAGTCATGTTTGTTTAATGACATGTAATTATATGCACAAGATATTTCTTGTAGATTATTGTAGGTCATGGTTAAAGAAGCTATAATAGAAAACTCTTATTTTTTAATGTTTGGGTTTTCATTTTAGATATGAGTGTGATATGTATATATAGCTGACTTGGTGCTTCCTAATTTTACATAACTGTGGTATATATACTTCCAAAAATACATGTTGATTTGTTTTTCGAAACTTGTGATCAAATTAAAACAGAGTTGTGGGTTTAATCATGTTAATTGTGCACATTTGTTATAGAATAGATGTAAACAAACATGAGTAAGTAGTTCTTATTCAATGTTATTATACTTTCATGTTAAATACTAAAATCTGATTGGTTTATAAGCATTTAACAATCCGTAATGTTACCCTCAGCGTTAGCAACACACTTGACAACGGGTAACATTACGAAAATATCACATGCGTTCAAATCATGCGCGTACGGTTCACCGTAGAATTCTCAAAACGTCGGTTGTGCGTTTGAAAGAAGCCAAATAAACGACGTCAATTAAAGCTTGCGTCCGATGTAGCTTACTTGAAACAACAAACGACAGACGAAACATCCTTGCGAGTGCAAACTTTAGATGATAAAGGACTTTTTGAGTAGCAAACAAACAATAAAGAGGTTGGTAAATCTTTTCCGAAGCTTTCTTATTGAGAAAATAGAAGCGGGGAGTTTGAAAGCTTTCTAAGCGTGAACTTAACGACGATCTCCGAAATTTTTTTTATGACATCCGAAATCAATAAGACATTCAGTATAATAAAATAAATAGTGCACGTTTTTGAGGGTAACAGTTGAAATTGACACCCCTCGGAAAACCATTGTCAACCTCCGCTGACGCGTCGGTTGACAATGGTTTTCCTTGGGGTGTCAATTTCAACTGTTACCCTCAAAAACGTGCACTATTTATATAATAGCATATTTCCTGTTTGGAAAGTACATATGTTACTCTGTGGGACTTGATTACCTTTCTTCCCATTCGTCTCCTCTGGATGGGCCACTTGTTGCCAATTTGACAACAAGTTCATGGCGTTTTTTATAAGGATTAGTCCCATCTTTTTTGCCATAACTAGTCCAATGGGCAATACTTATTGTACATTTGTTATTTCTATGTCAGTATTTGTACGGTGTATATCTTAGGCACATTTATCTTTGTGTACATGTAATGAGATATATTTTACATGAGATTTACTGTCCTATTTTGTGCCTTAGAATTTTTACGAGTATCATATGTACTTCTAAGATTGGGAAACATTTTTGGCATTTTCAATAATAAATGCTCTTTTTCGACAAACTCGGTGTTATGTTATCTGTTGGGCAAAAAACAGAGCAGAGTAGACTCGTGGCTAAAAAGGTACCTCTATTATATTAGAAGAGGATGGTATAATTGTATTTATGTGAAAACATAAAGTAATTTATAGCATCTCGATTACATTGTCAATTTTTTCCGGAATAACAAAAATCTTTCCATTACGGTTCTGTACTTTACCGCCATATTGATCACGTGATATTTGTTTATTGAAGCTGTAGCCATTGTTTGAATGTGTAGAAACTTTTACCCACCTCCATCCCCCTATCTTCCACCTGTTTTTTGCATTTGTACTTGGTGTCTTAGGCTAAATATATTTTTGAAATACAATTGATCAAGTTTTATACATTTACTCTAGTCCCATTCATTTGTACAAGCATGTTATGTGTTTTTATAATGTTTGTTTGCGTTTTTTTTATAAGGATTAGTCCCATCTTTTTTGCCATAACTAGTCCAATGGGCAATACTTATTGTACATTTGTTATTTCTATGTCAGTATTTGTACGGTGTATATCTTAGGCACATTTATCTTTGTGTACATGTAATGAGATATATTTTACATGAGATTTACTTTTTTATAAGGATTAGTCCCATCTTTTTTGCCATAACTAGTCCAATGGGCAATACTTATTGTACATTTCTTCTTCAAAGGAACTGCAACGCACTCTCTCTTTATATGATCAATGGAGCTCCTTTCAAACACCAGCAACTCTAACCCAGGGGTGAAGAATTTCACAGATCGGGTAAAAACACCTTTCTCGTTAATACTACTTTATATTCGATTTGCGCGGGATTATTCAATTTCGTTCGTCTGCGGGTCTGTCCATCTGTTACAAGAACTTTAACCTTGTTCATAACTTCTGATTGAGAAAAAAGGCTTTTATATTTCACATATGCACAAGCTGTAAAAACCTTCAATGGTCCGTAAAGTTTGACCTTCTTTTCAAAAATTTTAACATTGGTTATAACTATTTAATGATACAATATAGGGATTTTAAATTTGTTTAATTACCTGAATGATTTCTTTTATCTTGACCTTCAAATTTGCTCTACTTTTTTTTTCAAAAATGTTAACAACATTGGTAATATATCTTATGAATGAGAAAAGATAGAGTTTTCATATTTCACATGTACATTTGGCGCAGTGGTTACAGCGTCCGCTCTAGAGTTGATCCTTACGTCGCGGGTTCGAATCTCACTGTGGGACGTGGAGACCGGTCTTTTGGATGGGACCGTATAAACCGAGGTCCCGTGTCGCAGTAGGTGCTAGCACGAAAAAGATTCCTCACTGCTCAATGGCCCTTAGTGCCGAGTATAGGTAAAAATTTGCAGTTCTCCATCGGCAAGTAGTGGCGTCTCCATATAAGTGAAAAATTGTCGACAGGGACGTTAAACAACAAACAAATCAAACACACACATGTACATTTCCTGTGACAATATCTTTCAAGTAATACTATAACTTTTGACCTCCTGATCTTTTTCGTCAAGTTTGACCTACTTTTCTAAAGTTTTTATCTTCAGCTGTAGGATTTGCGCCAGAAGAGATTGGGTTTTTTTTAGCTCACCTGAGCCGAAGGCTCAAGTGAGCTTTTCTGATCGAAATTTGTCCGTTTTCTGTCGATGTTGTTAACTTTTTCACATTTTCATCTTCTTCTCAAGAACCACTGGGCCAATTTCAACCAAACTTACCACAAAGTATCCTTGGGTAAAGGGGGTTCAAGTTTGTTCAAATGAAGGGACACGCCTTCTTTCAAGGGGAAATAATTTTGAATTCGTGAAAAATTAATGGCATCATTTAAAAATCTTCTCAAGATCCACTGTGCTTGAAAATATAAAACTTATGTGGAATCACTGTGGGGTAGTGTAAATTCAAGTTTGTTCAAATCATGACCCCTGGTTTTAGGGTGGGGCCACAATGGGCGATAAAGTATTATATAGGAATACATAGGAAAAATCTTCAAAAATTTTCTTCTTAAGAACTGCAAAGCCATGATTGGTCATATTAAATGCAAGCATCCTCAGGTAGTGTAGATTCAAGTTTGTTCTAACACGACCTTCAGGGGTAGGGTGGTGCCACAATGGGTGATCAAAGTTTTACATAAGAATACATAGGAAAAAAATCTCTAAAAATCTTCTTCTCAGGAACAGCAAAGCCATGATTGGTCATATCTATATGCAAGCATAATCATCCTCAGGTAATGTAGATTCAAGTTTGTTCTAACACGACCTCCAGGGGTAGGGTGGGGCCTTAATGGGTGATCAAAGTTTTACATAGGAAAATTCTTTTAAAATCTTCTCTTCAAGAACAGCAAAGCCATTATTGGTCATATTTTTTATGCAAGCATCCTCAGGTAGTGTAGATTCAAGTATGTTCAAACATGACCTCCAGGGGTAGGGTGGGGCCACAATGGGTGATCAAAGTTTTACATAGGAAAATTCTTTTAAAATCTTCTCCTCAAGAAAAGCAAAGCCATGTTTAGTCATATTTAAATGGAAGCATCCTCAGGTAGTGTACATTCAAGTTTGTTCAAACCATGACCCCTGGGGGTAGGGTGGGGCCGCAATAGAAGATCAAAATTTTTACATAGGAATACATCGGAAAAATCTTTAAAATTATTCTCAAGAACAGCAAAGCCATGATTGGTCATAATTATATTAAAGCATCTTCAGGTAATGTAGATTCGAACTTGTTCAAATTATGACCCCCCCCCCCCCCAGGAGAATAGAGGGGCCATAACAGGGATCATAGTAAATATACAAAGGAATATAAGGATATATCAATAAATATTTTCTTCATAAGTGCAGCAAAGCCATTTTGTGTCATATTAATTCAATAACATCCGTAGGAAGTGTAGATTCAAGTTAGTTCAAATCATACCCCCCCCCCCTTTAAACTTTTCAAGACTGAACTGATTTCTGCTTTTTCTTAGCCAGGTGAGCGATGTGGCCCCCTGGGTCTCTTGTTTATCTTTGGCCTTTGCACCAGAAGAGATTGTGATTTCATAGTTGTCTCCCGCTTTCGCGATTGCAATTGGACATTACTTGCGACAAGACCTTTTTCAAATGAACTGCTTTTTTATTTACATCGACACTGACCTTCAAATTTGACCTACATTTTTAAGAAAAATTAACATTACATTTACCTTGATCATAACTTTTGAATGAGAAGAGAAAGGGCTTACTTATTCCACATGTACATTAGCTGTGACAAACCTTTTTCAAATGTCATACAGTTTTTGAACCCATGACCTTGAAGTTTGACTTGCTTTTCAAAAATTTAAACATTGATATAATATTGGTATTAACTTTTGAATGAGAGAATATAGAGCATTCATATTTGACATGTGCATTACCTTAGACGGGACGTTTCCGATTTAAGATATTTGACCACGTGACATTGACCTTGAAATGACAACGTGACATTGACCTTGAAATTTGACCTAATTTAAATAGAAACAAATTGTTCATATGTGACAAGTGCATTACCTGTGACAAGAGATTCCGACTGTGCTATGATAGATTTGAAATTGACCTTCACGTTTTACGTACGTTTCAAAAATTTTTATTATTGATAACTTTGAAGGAGATCTAGAAAAGATAGGGCATTCGTATTTGACAAGTACATTAATTGTGACAGGACGTTTCCATACATGTATGTACTGTAACTTTGAATCCCATGACCTTGAAGTTTAACTTACTAAATTTTCTAAAATTTTAACCTTGAAATTTGACCTAATTTTAAAAAAAATAAACATTGTTGATAACTTTTGAAACAAATTGTTAATATGTGACAAGTGTATTACCTTTGACAAGAGTTTCCGACTGTGCTATGATATATTTCACCTTGACCTTCACGTTTCACGTAAGTTCAACAAATTTTTATTATTGATAACTTTGAAGGAGATCTAGGAAAGATAGGGCCCTCATATTTGACAAGTATATTACTTAGGAAAGGAAGTTTCCATATGTACTATAACTTTTAACCCCATGACCTTTTTTTCATTGCTAATAACTTTTGAATGAGAGAAAATAGGGCTTTCATATTTTTAGGTCACCTGAGTCACTCAGGTGACCTATTGCTATCTGTTTTCGTCCGTCGCCGTGCGTCGTCCGTCGTGCGTTAACTTTTGAACATTTTTTTCAACTTCTTCTCCAAACTGCTAAACCCATTTCAACCAATTTTGGCATATAGCATCTATGGGTGAAGGGGAACAAAAATTGTGAATTTCATGGTCCCTGCCCCCCTAGGGCCTGAGGGGTGAGGCTAAAACCACCAAAATTGATGTTATATTTAAAAATCTTCTTTACTCCTGAACACCAAGCAGTCAAACTGTTGGCATGATTGTAATAAGCATTGGGCCCTCTACCAAAATTGTGAAATTCACGGCCCCAGGGTCAGGGGTTCTGGTGCTAGGGCGGGGTTATATAGATCATATAGTGAAAGTACATTATTTCTTTGAAAATCTTCTCTTCTCCAGGGTATTATTTAAACAAACTAAGTGCATAGTTATGATAAGCAATGATGCCTTTTCTAAAATTGTGAATTTCATGACCCCTGAGTCAGGAGTTCCGGTGTTAGGGCGGGGCTCTTTTGATTATATGACTAAATGCATTAATTCTTTGAAAATCTTCTCTGTTCCTGGGTATTATTTAAACAAACCAAGTGCATGGTTATGATGCCCAAGGATGCCTATTCCAAAATTGTGAAATTCATGGCCCCTGGGTCAGAGGTTCTGGTGTTAGGGCGGTGGGTTCTGGTGATAGGGCGGGGCTCTATTGATTAGATAGTGAAAATGCATTAATTCTTTGAAAACCTCTGCTCCTGGGTATTATTTAAACAAACTAAGTGCATGATTATGAAAAGCAATGATGCCTGAAATTCATGGCCCCAGGGTGGGGCGGGGCTCTATTGATAATATAGTGAAAGAGCATAATTTTTTTGATAATATAGTGAAATTGCATTATTACTGTTGAATAATCCTGTC